TCCAGTGTTCCTGGTATCTCTGACATCCTGGGATATCCATTCCATCTCACCTAAACAACTCCATACATTGGCCTCTCGGGGCCTCTCTGTTGAGAATTTGACCTGCTACCACACGTTACTTGGTCTCACAGGCTTCCTTAAAAATTTGGGTTCATGCCTCCATGATTCCATAACTCTTGCATCGTGTATGCATGCAAAACCAACACTATGTGGACAATGGCAAGTTTTGTTGCCAACTTGAGAAGTAGTCCAGTGCCCCTGGACCGTGGGTAAAGCAGCCTCTGCTTGACTGTGTGGCAGGACCTCAGTGAACTTTCCATAGGCTGCCCTGCTCCAGCAGGACACTCCTGGCATGCTCTCCTCTTAAAGAAGGCTTCCAAATGGGTTTGCAGTTTTATACTCTAGGGTCTTAAGTCTGTAAGGTCTTGTCACTTCCTGAAACGCCCTCCAGGCCTCATTCCTTCCAACCTGTGGCAAAGCAAGCACTTTCTTTTTGACAGTTATAGCTGCTTTTCTACACTTGTTTTGTTCATAACTTTAAAACATGCTCTTTTCTTTACCAAACTACACATTTTTCACGTCTTTCTACTCTGAGTTTTGCTCCAAATTCTCACTGTAAACCTAGCTAAAATCAGCTAGTAATAATCGTAGCTGGGCCTGAATGCTCTGCTGTCTTGAAATTTCTTCCACCAATTATATTAGTCCATTACTTTGGAATTTGGCCTCGCTCAGATTTTCAGGACATGGCAAAGTGTAGACAAATTAGCTCTGCAACAGGCTGGTCCCAGGCTGCAACCCAGGCTGGCCTCAGGCTTACATACATTTTTTTCCACAGTAGATCAAATTTTTAGGAAAAGGACTCAAAGACCAACGGTTATTATTTATTGCATAATTCTAACATTAAACACGAGGGGTGAGATGAACCACCTTACACTATCTTCTAGGTGCTGGGCAACAGATACAAAAATAAGTCAGTTCTAGTGTGATTGCCGTGTAAGGGGCTATTAACTAAGGCCTAAAAGGACATTGTGGCAAATTATTTCAAATATTTTTATGTTGTGTTACTTTAGAAGAAATACCAGAGTCAAAGGTTGTTTTGAATGCTCTGTTCCCTTAGGATGCTCACTCATTTAGTCCATTAGCACTGTTAGTCATTTAGCACTGTTAGGATCACTATCAAGAATGCTACCCTTATAGGATCTCAAGCTTTGGTGACTTGTCAGGCCCCTCTATTGCTTCTGTGTTTTTAAATTTTATCTCCTGTGCTGGGTAGTTTTAACTGCCAACTTGACACAACTTAGAATCACTAGAGAAAACAGTCTTTATGAAGAATTATCTAGATCAGGTTTGGTTTGTGTCTGTGTCTGTGGGGAATTGTCTTGGTTGTTAATTGATGTATGAAGACCCAGCCCACCATGGGTAGTTCTATTCCCTACGCAGGGCATCCTTCCAAGCGTAAGAGAAAAAAGAGCTTATGCAGGCAGGCAAGCAGTCCAGGATGCATTCATTTCTCTGCTTTTGACTGTGGATGTGACCAGCTCTTTTAAGGTCCTGCTGCACCTTGACTTCCTGCTGCCTATGAGCTGGAGTTGTGAGCCAAACACACCCTTTCTTCCCCATATTCTTCTCATCAGGGTATTTGCCACTGCACCAGAAACTAACAAAACATCACCCAAGAATAATTTCAGCAGCAGTATTTATTTGATTTCTATAATTATAAAAACTCATTGTAGGAAAGTTGGAAAGAATGGGAAGCATGCTGCAACTTTAAACAGTCACTGAATTACACCTCTCAAAGACAGTGCCTGGTAGCAGGTCAGAACTCCAGCATTTCATAGTTTTTCTGATCATTATTTTTGACCTAGTGGCAGTCGTGTGGTTTGGAGATTACTTTTTTCATTTAGATTATCATCTAATAATGTTTACCAGAATATCGATTAAATGTTACATTACTATAAATATATTTTAGTAATACTTTACTATAAAAAGTACACTATTAATTTGCTATTGTCTTAACATTAAACATGGGTCAATTTTTTCATCGTTTCCTTTTCTTTTTAAAATTTCCATTTCAAGGCATACTAGTTGTACAGACTAATAAAGCCCACTGCGATATTCTCATACCTCACACACTGACTACAGCTATTCACCCTTCTCCCAGCTCACATCCTTTTCTCTCCCCCTGGCCTCTTCCTTGGTCCTAATAGTTCCTGTTGATTTATTTCTGTTTCTCTCCCCCATGCTTCCCTGTTACTACTGTCCACTGTTACATTCTGGACTTCAGTAAGACTCAGGTATTAGATTCCATGAAGGAAGACCACAGGGTATTTCTCTTTCAGTGCCTCGTTTGTTTCACTCAGTGTTGTTTTCCTGAGTTCTACCCATGTTGCTGTGGATGGCATTACGTAATGATATCTTGTTTTCTTTATCTAGTCGTCCATTGAAGCATCTAGGTCGGTCCCATGTTTTGGCTATTGTGAATAGTGCTGAAGCACTATAAACACTTTTTGGTATAAAGATTTCAATATCCTTTGGTTTTCCTGTAAAAGCCCACCAGCTCGCATTCCACTAATAGTATTTAAGAGTTTCTGTTTCTCTAGATCCTCACCTGCATTTGTTACTTCTTGTCTTTTTGGACTGAGTCTGTTCATTGCTTTGGGTAGCATGAATAGGGATATAGTTCTATTTTTTGTCCCTATGATATCCTTTGTGTGTTCTATAATTCCTTTCAGCAGTGTTTTGTAACTTTTCTTGTAGATTTCTTTTGCTTTCTTACTTCAGTTTATTCTTACGTGTTTTTGTAACCATTGTGAATGTGACTATTATCTTTTCACTGAGCTCTTTATTTTTGCATAAAAATGCTCATGTGTGATTGTGTGTGTGTGTGTGTGTCCGTGTGTGTCTATGTGTGCGTGCATGTGCTGGTTTTGTATCCTACTAATTTACTGAACTCATAGGTCTAACAATTTTGATGGAATTATGATAGAACCCACAGATGTGGCTAATTTAACCTCATCTTTTCATTTTGAATGCCTTTTATTTTTCTCTTGGAAAATTACTTTGGCTAATATTACCAGTGTTAGAAGTTTAAATTGCATTCTTAGATTATATTCCATTTGGTGTAGGTCTTTTTAGTGACTTTCTGCTCAACCTGTTTTTCCAGCTATTACTATAAATGTGCCCTGTGCTTCCATTACAGAGAAACCACAGTGACTGAATACTATGGTTGCTTTCTTTCCTTATAAGCTCTCTTTTCTCTCAGGAATGTTCTCTCCTTTCCTTTCCCTGATGGCCCTTCCTTCTTCCTAATTCTTTGCTTTATCTGTCTCGTAGACTTTAACTCTTCCTTTAAGGCATAGTACAAATCCAGAAAAGCCTTCCAGAAAGACTTACTTTTCTCTGACAGGTGTGACTGCCCCAGGGCATTGTCAACCAGCACTCATCAATTTTACTTCGGAATCTTATACATTATCCAACTGAAATATAGTCATCATTTGGTGTATTCAGTGGATGGGTCTCGGGAACCCCCATAGATTCCATACTCCATGGTTGCTCAAGTCTCTCACATCCGTCTAGTATTTCCCTACAACCTTTCTTCCACACACTTCAAACCCTCACTGCATGACTTACAATACTAAAGCAGTGCAAATAGATATCCAAGATGTTATACTGCATTGTTTAGGAAACAGTGACAGGAAAAAAAATCTACATATTCAATACAGACAGTTTTTTTCCAAATATTTTTGGCATGTGATTGGTTGAGTTCACAGATGTGGAATGTGTGACTATAAAAAACTTACTGCATAGGAATTGCCATTTAGTGGATAAAAAATAATAGTAGCAATTTCATATGGTGGAACCATATGAAATTCACGATGTTCTGACCACAGTGCATTTCTTTTTCTATCATTAACTGGTATTCAGCACACAGTGGGTCTTTCGATATTTGTCATTTTGCTTGAAATGCCTTAGAGAGTTGCAAAATGTCTGCTTTTTCTCTGTTGGAGCACACAGGAGATGAATTACCTTATAGTAGGCACTGAATAGATGTTTATCAAGTGAATAACTGATATTTTAAGTCAACTTACTTTTCATCAGTATGAACAGCTAAGAGGGCTCTTATTTTTAACTCCTTCCAAAGTTGAAGGCTAATGGTTTCTATTGGACTCTGTGAACTTCAACTAATTTTCCACTTTTTAATATTTTAACCATTTGCTTGCTCAATGTTACTGTCTCTAGGTTTGCCTTGTCATATTTTTTTTTTAAATAAGGAGATTCATGCCAAGCACAATATTCTGCAGATTTGGCTGGCACATCTGGTGAGAAGAGATGACATCTGCTGGTCTTCTTCAAAGCTCCCAGTACCGTTTCCCTCTTGACACTTTAGGAATTAATTGCCAAGAGCTCACATGCAGGGCTTTTCTGTCACTTGCAGAGCAAGTACCCCTGCTCCATATTGTTAGTAATGCAGAAGGAGGTTGTCCTTCTAATAAACAATTGGCTGGTTTATAGAAAGGGAAACATTGAAGACATGACCAAAATTTGCATTGCCTTTATTTGCACCTACCTGGTATCCTCTGTGTCTGAATAAGCTGAAGCTTATTCATTTCATCTCTCATTTCACATGGAGAGATGTTATCAAGGGCTGAGGGTACCGTCTGCCTCTCCTGAGGTTGGTGCTAACACCAAAGGCTTAGGGGGGAGGAATGAAGCCATCAGTACTCAAGCCTCCCCCTTGTTCATGTGTGAACTGTCAGACCCTTGTTAGCCCTGCTTTGCCCCTCCATATGGTGATAGATGGCTGATGGGGGTTGCCCCAGAGGCAACAGATGGACAAGCATTTTTGCATTATTTTCATGACTATATTTAATTTCATAGTGGTAAAATTGAGATTTATGTTTTATCCCTGTAAGCTCCTTTCAGAAAGGAAACCCTGACCTTCATCTTGGTAGTCTCTATTTTCAAAAAAGTTAAGTTTCAGCCATGGTTGTGTTTTCCAGGTGGTGAGATTGGTCAGGTGCCTTGTTTTGACAGCATTAAATTGGTGGTTTCGGATGGTGAAGCTGGGCCTTCGGTAAATGGCTGTTGCTACAATGGACCTGATACATATGCTCCTCTTCATGAGTCCTTCCCAGTATATGAGCTCAACATCACAGTCCATCCAGTCGACAATCAACCACCTTCAATTGCAATAGGTGATAATGTCTGTCACTAACTAATTATCTAATTATCTTAGTGTCATACCCAAGGTTCAGTAAAATACTTTTTCCTTAGATTAGAAAACCACCAAACACAAATGTCATCCAATATTCTCATCAGAAATTATACTATAAAAGAATGTACTTGTTTGAAAATTTAAGTATTTCTGTATGAGGAGAGACTTCTTTGTGCATGCATGTTGGGACAAGGACATTGAAGTCCTCAAGTATTCCAGTTTTATTTCACACAGAAAAATATCATTTGCTTGCTGGAGAGAGAATAATTTATTTTATCCATAATAATTTCTATTAGGACAGAATGAGCGCACCACAGAGACCATTTATATACATTTAACCTTATTTGCTTTTCAGAAAGTCATTCCTTCATAGGCATTATGTATACATTCCATCTCTCAGAAAAAATAAGCATATGTATGAATGTTATTGTAATTTGCAAACTATCTCCCAAGCAATGTTCTGGAAAGGAAGCATTATCCCAGCAGAATAATTAAGCACCAAGGCATGAAAAAACGGTTCATTATGAGCAATTCATAATAGCTCTCGGGCAATTAACGCTCTGACAAACAGAGGTAACAACTGATCTTGAGGAGTACATAAACTGCATTTAGTGGCTTATCATTAAAACAGTTTGGCAATTCTTATTTTCATCTGTCACTTCTGTAAAGACACAAGGGAAATCAGAGTTCCTTGAGAACGACTAGCGGGTTGTACCAAAGCATTTACCATTTGTGCTGGCTTTCCATTATCATCTGGCTTGCTTGTATAAGAAAAAAAAAGACACAATTCCATAAGTCACATCACATTCTACCCATTACCCCTGAATGTTTTCTCTGCAAAGAGAATTTATACTCAAGGCAGTGACTACCGTGCCCATGCTTTTGCCTGTGGGAGGAAATGCTGATTGGAAATTCAATCATTCCTTCCAGTTCTCACTATTCCTATGGAAGAGTTCAGGCTAAGACATAACTGGGGGATCTTTTATTTATTTGTTTATTGAAACAGGGTCTCCCTGTAGCCCCAGCTGGGCTGGAACTTACTATGTAGACCAGGATGGCCTCTACCTCACAGAAATCCACCTGCCTCTGCCTCTCTAGTGCTAGGATTAAAGGCGTGTGCCGCTACACCCAGCTAATGTTTTACTGCATTATTTTGTTTACTTAGTGTGCTTGTGCCCTGGTGCCCATGTGGAAGTCAGAGGACAACTTGCAGGTGTTGGTTTTCTTCGTCTACCTTTCTGTGGGTCTCTGGAATTGAACTTAGTTCATCAGCCTGGTGGCAGTCACCTTTACCCACTGAACCATCTTGCTGGTCTCTAACTGTGTTATTTATATGCAGGTACGGTGTTCATGGTGGATGAGGGCTTCTCGGCTGCCCTTACTACTAACCATTTGTCTGCTACCGACCCTGACACCGCCACAGATGACTTGGAATTCATTTTGGTTTCTCCTCCCCAGTTTGGCTACCTTGAAAACACACTACCTTCTGCAGGTTTTGAGAAAAGCAATGTGGGCATAAGCATAGGTAAGCCTTGATTTCACAATCCACAGTGTTTATCTGTATTCATGGGTGTGACTAGATCAATCATGCTTTGTAGATAGTAAGGTCTTCAAAAATACTTAAGGTACCTTATCCATTTAAGAGATGATTACTGTAGATGATTCTGTGAATCTCATTGTTTTTCACTTTAACATTGATTCTGACTCTTCCTATGCATGAACATTTGCTATAGAAATAAATAGAAACTTAACCTATGAATGAACATTGAGGACCTCACTGTTTACAAGGCCCTCACCAAAACCCAGAACACTGTGACTGAATTAATCTGGTGGGAACCAAAGAGTCTTATTTTTACAATCTATTAGCATTTTTGATAGCTACTCCTGGAAAAGACTGAGCAACATGCCATGCATGGTACTGAAAGACCGCAATGTTTGAGTAGATTACATACATTGTTTGAAGGCAGAATATATTTTGGCTACCAAAATAACTCATAAAAAAACAACCAAAATAGAAATCAAAAAGCAAAACTGAAATCTTCCAAAGAAAATATTATATGAAAAAAGGATTTATCAAACTCCTTTTAAGGCATTTGTATTTTAAATATGAGAGAGATTGGATCTAAGATTAATCATAAAAAAATTAATTCAGTTTTTCCTATGACTTAACTAATAAATTAGAGGATTTTTTTTCCTTCTCGTTTAAGGCCACGTCAAAATCTGAACATCAAGTGAACTAATTGCGTTCCTTGATGTTTATTACGTAAGCAGATGATCGGATCACTCTTGTTTTGCTTTTACATCAGAGGTCTTGTTTTTATTAACCCACAAGAACTGCTTGTGTGGAAGCAGTGGTTTAATCAAGGACCTGATGTTCAGTCCAAGGATTTGGAAACTGATCACAAAGTCCCCTGCATCATGCTTTGGGATTATCACCCTTCTGTTCTGCAGGCGAATTTGAATCCCTCTTTATGATCAGTTGATACCTGCTTTCATGTTAATGATTGGTAGGTCTTGTTCTAGTTCCTGCTGTGGTCACTTATCTGCTGTGCAGAGAAACAGGCTGTTAAAGATGAGGACCAGTAACTTGGAAATGCTGTTGTTTTCCCCCGTTTTGTCTTGTGTGTGCTAGCTTCGTTTCAGTGGAAAGATATGAATGCTTTACATATTAACTACGTGCAGTCCAGGCACCAGAGGATGGAGCCAACTGCCGACCAGTTCGTAGTGTATGCCACAGATGGGAAGCAACGTTCCTTGGATACACCATTTTATGTTGTGATCAACCCCACAAATGATGAAGTTCCTGACTTTGTAGTACAGAATATTACCGTAAGAAACATCAGAATGTTACATTTCTCTTATTTTCTGATTTTTAGTTTTTTCTAGTCTCTTTATGTTGGTCCAGATGTACCTAAGATGTTAATTTGGTGAAGGGCCTGAAAGACAGAATCCTATGCCATGTAATTAATCAAACTATTGTTCTAATGATGAAGATGGTAGTGACCGAAATGTGCTATAGCAAATGCGTGGACTCAGTTACTTGTATGTGTGTGTGTGTGTGTGGTGTGTGTGTGTTTGTGTGTATGTGTGTGTGTGTGTGTGTGTGTATGTGAATATAGTACCTACCTACTAGGTTGCAAGTTCCAAATCCTTTACATGAATTCATATTTAATCCTCACAATAGGCTTTTAGGGTGATGGTATTATTATTGTCATTTCATTATGAAGAAATGAGGCATAAATAGGTTAACTAAATAGCTTGGGAGAATCATGGGCATGCCAGGATTGTGTATGGGTACTATAATTTTTCTCTGTGTTTTTACTTACAAATAAGGGTATCATAGTATACCTGAGTATACTCATCACTTACTTTCTAAAGGAAAATATAATTACATATATTAGAAATCTTTTCATATCAGTGTCTAATTCCTAAGCTGGAGATATGGCACAGCCATTAAATTGCTCAGATTCACAACCAAAAAGACAAGTATGTAACTGCTTTTAAATAATTATGTATCTATATATGGTTATTGAATTCAGACATATGCATTAGCAAGTTCTGATGAAATGGAATGAGCACAAGCTTTAGCAGCAAAGGGACTTGAGTGTTGCTTTAAATAACTGTCATGCCTTGGGCAGGTTATTTCTCTTCGAGCTCTGTTTCCTCATCTGCAACTATAACTTAACTTTCCTTTAAGGTATTTCCCCTGTGATGGAGTTGGCCATGCACAGTAGATCCTTAATGAATGGATATTCCCTCCTGCTGTTAATTTTGTCATCTTTTTTCTGATATTGACCAAAGCCATTATTTTCCCATATTCTTTCACTAAAAATAATCACATTCTAAATGTGAAAGTCTTTATTTGATTTTAATTTTCTACTGAATCTTAATGGCACATGAGAGTCACCTCAGCATGAGATTTAAGAGCCAACTCCTGCCTTTCTTTTTCTTTTGGCTCATGGGTTACTCTGGAGAGCCCTTCAGTAATTATGCGAGGTAAAAAAAAAAAATCTACAAAATGATTTCTTCTACCCCTACTTCTGTTGTCTTTATCTGCCTAGGGTAAGGGCTTCTGGCATAATCGGGCCTCTGAGAAGTTGTCCCTTGTTTCTCTCTAGAAGCAGTCATACCTTTCACCTGTGCTGCCTCACAAGGCTTAACAAATACATAACCCCTGAACACTGGCAGAGTCAACTTTAAGCTTCAAGGAAATTATTTTATAGAACCACATTCAGTTTTCTTGTGAGAAAGTGCATTTATCATGTGCATAGTTAGGCTTCCATCAAAATATTTGTTTATTATAATTCCTTCCACACCAGTTTAGTAAATATATGCTTTTTACATTTATTACTTGAAATTTTATTGTCTTATGTGGAGAAACGATTTGGTCTCCAAAAGAGTCCCACAGTTTTTTAACAAAATTCCCTGGTAATCTTGTGAATGAATTGAGCATCCATTCACATCATCGTATAACAAGGTGAGAGGGAAAAAGCTTCATAGTTAAACTCCATAAAGAAGGATAATTACAATGTATTTTAAAGCTGTTTCACTAAATTTTGGGGGGTAAAAGGTGAGTTATTGGCAAAAATTATTTAATAAGTATATTATTATGTTAATCTGTGACACTTTCTTAGTCTTTAATGAAGAAGGCCAGATAAAACCAGCATCATTTTTGCCCAGATGTTGCCCATATGGCTGTAGGAGATTCCCTTTCAAGTCAGTGGGGGAGCGGAACAGAAAGCACCAGTGGCCTCAAGAGGAGGTCCCTCAGTCTCGAGACACTGCTGTCCACCTCTCTTTTTAGCTTCTTATTTATTGATATCTGGCAACTCTGCACAACTCTGGCAACTCAGTCCTAGCTAACTTTGATTCTTGGGTATGTTAGTATACCCCAGTATCTACATAGTACAGTGGCCTTGCTGATCCCTGAGAAGCACGTGAAGAATTTGTATACTTTTATTACTTAGATCACACTATGTTTCAGAATGGGAAATAAATGTTTCCTTGCCATGAAGGAAAAAAAAAGTTAAGCCAATTAGGTACCCAGCGGTCAAGTTCTGAATGACTAGAGCCTTCTGGAGAAAAAAACATTTCACCGTGTGTGCGTGCGTGCGTGCGTGCCTCTCTCTCTCTCTCTCTCTCTCTCTCTCTCTCTCTCTCTCTCTCTGTCTCCTTCTCCCCTCTCCCTCTCCCTCCCTCTCTTCCTCCCTCCCCTTTCCTCTTCCCCCTCCCCATCTCTGTGCCAGAGGAGGACATCAGGTGTCCTGCTCAATCACGTTCTGCCTTATTGCCTTAAGACAAGGTCTCTCACTGAAAGGAGCTAGGCTGGAGGTTGGCAAACCCCACATACCGTCCTGTCTCTGCCCCTGACAGCACTGGGGTTGCAGGTGCTCTCACAGCCACACCCAACTTTCTATGTGGGTGCTGGGCACTTGAACTTGATTACTCAAGGTTATACAGCAAGTGTTCTTACCTGCTTAGTCATCTTACCAGCTCCTGAAATACACGAGTGTTTACTGTGCTAATAAAAATGTTAGATGCCAAATATTGAACTCGGGGTTATTAATTACAGTAAAAAAAAAGAGGACATGCGGTCAGGAGGGAGTTGGGCTGGGGGCACTAGGGGGAGTTGGAGAGAAGCAGCTGTGGAAAGATATGATCAAAATACATTATATAAATGTATGAAATTTTCAAAGAATAAATAAAAATATTAATGAAAAAATAAATTTTCTCTGTGTGTGCAGTAGGCATTTGTTATTTCCAAAGTAGTTAGAAACATAGAATTGTAAAAGGAGGATCATGTGAAATAACACTGTGTCTAAAGTCCAATTTTACAACTAAACTTTTCCAGAAAGTAAACATCCTTTTGCTTGCTTTCTCCCCAACCTTTGAATTATTAACAACATAGGTATTCTAATATTCACTTCTATTGTATGTATGTTTGTGCACATACATGCAGGACACATGTATATGTGTGCATGATGGGAGGCATGCATACTATGGCATGTAGAGGCTAGAGGACAACTTTGTGGAATCAGTTCTCACTTCCATCTTAATGTGGGTTCTAGGGATTGAACTCAGGCTGCTGCCTGGCAAGCACCTTTACTGTTGAGCCATCTTGCCAGCCCCACATAGATAATTTAAATCATATAATCCTTTATTGTACATGGAAATAAGAAGCACTTTGAAATCTTCAGAAAAAAAATGTGAGGGGGATTAATAGATTTCTTCTCATCTTCTTTTTAATGGCCCATTCATTATCTGCAAATGTCATAGAAAATTTGAAAAGGATATCTCTAAATAAGTGAGATTTAAAAAAAAATTATTGATACTATTAGTAGAGAAAAGGTTCTATTTCATACCTGCTGACTGCTGGCTTGTTTCTGCTCAGGTGTGTGAGGGTCAGATGGCAGAGCTGGATTCCTCTATTATCATTGCTGCTGACAGGGATGTTCCCAAGGACCCCTTGGTCTTCAGCATCACTCACAAACCCCATCACGGCATCCTCATCAACACAGCGATCTGCAAAGACTCTCCTCAGAGCAAACAGCTAGCTCGTCCTGACCAGAAACATGAAGTTCACAACTTCTCCATGGAACTTCTCAAGACTGGTAGACTGTGTTCCACTTCTATTCCCCTGTTGTTGCTGATTTAATAACTTAATCTCCTCACTCACTTAACTGTGGGCTCTAAAAAAATATGTGTAGAAACAGAAATTAGATTGATGGTTACCAAAGGCACGGGGAGGGGGAAAGAGGAGTTATTGATGAAAAGGTACAAAAAATGCATTCAGACGAGAAGAGGTTTGAGACATCTATTACACACCATCATGAAGGCAGTTAATAGTGTATAACTGAGCATTACTGAGTAGGTTTTGAGTTCTCACTACACACACACACACACACACACACACACACACACACTAATAAGGTGAGGCAACACTTGTTAGTGTGACTTAAGCATACCAGGGCTGTACGTATATCAAGATGTCATGCTGTATACCACAAGTACTTAAAATTTTTATTAATTAATATAGTTTTACCCCAGAAAAGATAACAGTAAATCTCAGAAATAAGGGGAAATAGCACTGATTTTATTTATTTGTCCCTCCAGGGTGAATATGAAGCCCTGGATTCATGCAGGGCACACAGCCCCAGCAGCACATTGCAGATATTTGGAGAGCCAGTCATCTTTTACTTTCAGAATACCATTAAAATTATATCTGTGATTTTTGCCATTTTAACACAGGACTTTAATCATGATTTTGAAATTCCTTTTTAAAACTATTGAGATCATGGGACTACATTTTAAAAATATTTTGTTTATTATTTTTATTCTATGTGTATATGTGTATTGCCTGCATGTAGGTAGATGCACCTATGTCATGCAGTGCCCATGGAGGTCAGAAGAGAGCTTCGGATCCGTGGGACTGGAGTTAAAGACAGTTGTTAGCCACCATGTGGTTGCTGGGCATCAAACCTAGGTCCTCTTGCAAGCACATACAGTGCTCTTAACCTCTGAGCCATCTTTCTAGCCCCTGGGACTACATTTTAAGAGACTTATCTGCCAAAATTTCCACAGATGATACAAATATAGATCCATATATAATAATGATTCATTAGTCCCTGAGGAGGCAATTTGCCTTTTAGGGAAGTAACATATTGGAGCAGCCTGAATTGTTTTTTTAATTACTTTTTAAAATTAATTGTATCCCATTTTCCATGTATAAAAAAATATTTTCAAAAACTCGAGCAAATGTACAGTTCTAGAACTGATGCCTAATCCCAATCTTTTTTATTCTCTACCTGTTTTTTGTTTGTTTTTTTTTTCCCCCAACCTAGTTCTTTTCCCGACTTGGGTTTATCAAGATGGCACCTTCACAACGCAATTGTTTGCTCGCCTCCTGCAGGAAGCCCACCTAGACTCTCCAGACCATTTCTTCTCTGTGCTTGCTTTGTCTTAGCACTTTTTTGACATTTTTTTCTACTGTCTTTCAATGATTTGTTTCTCTAATTAGAATATAGTCTCTCTTCCCAAGGATTTTTTTTTTTTTTTTCAGTCTTTTTGAGACACAGTCTCCCTGTAGTCCCAGCTGGCCTGGAACTCACCATGTAGACCAGGCTGGCCTTGAACTCACAGAGATCCTCCTGCTTCTGCCTCCCTAGTGCTGGGATTAAAGGCTTGTGCCACCATACCTGGCCTTATTATTATTATTATTTTTAGTTTATATGTATGAGTGTTATGCTTGCATGTATGTAAGTGCACCCATGTTGTGCAATGTCCACAGAGGTCAGAAGAGGGTGTTGGCTCCCCTGGAACTGGAGTTACAGATGGTTATTAGCCACCATGTGGGTGCTGAGAATTGAACCCAGGTCCTCTGCAAGAGCAGCCAGTGCTTTTAACTGCTGAGCCATCTCTCCAGCCCTCCCAAGGAGTAGTTTTACAGTGTCATCTTATGTTTGAATCTGAAAAGCCAAATGACTCAGCATTTGTGAAGTACAGAGAAATGAATTCTGGACATTCAAAGATAACAGGACCAAATCAATAATCATGTGCTACAATTAATAGAGTGCACTGTTACAGATATTGGGAAAGGGAGTAACAGCTTAAATTTACTCTCAAGAAAGTCAGTTTTAAGGGGCCTTTTTCTCCCTCCCTCCCTCCCTCCCTTCTTTCCTTCCCTCCCTCCCTCCCTCCCTCCTTCCTTCCTTCCTTCCTTCCTTCCTTCCTTCCTTCCTTCCTTCCTTCCTTCCTGTCTTATGAGCTGGATAAGATGATGCATTGCTATAATCCTAGTATTCAGGAAACTAAGACAAAATGATCAAGAGTTCAAGGCCTTAATGCCATCTTTAGCTACATAGGGGGCCCTGTCTATAGAGAAAAGGATCACTTCAGAAATATTTTTACATTTATTTATTTTGTGCATGTATGCATGTGTATGAGGGCATGGCATGCCACAGTACACATGTGGAGATCCGTGGAAAACTTTTAGGATTTGGATCTCTCCTTCTACCTGTAAATTCTAGAGACTGAACTTAGGTTGTCAGGTTTGATGGCAATTGCCTTACCCATTGAGCCATTTGTCAGACCATGACAGTTTTTTAAAAAGCGATATGGGGGCCGAAGAGATGGCTAAGCTGTTAACAACACTGACTGCTCTTGCAGAGGACCCGGGTTCAGTTCCCAGAACCCATATGGCAGCTAACAACTGTCTGTAAATCCAGTTTCAGGGGATCTGACACCATCTTTTGACCTCTGCAGGTATTGCACAACATGGGCAAATTTACATACATGCAGACAAATAAACTCATACACATAAAATAAAAAATAATGAATGAAATAATTTTAAAAAATGAAAAGTTATATGATTAGCTATTGTTACAGATTAAATAAGTATTATATACTCATTGTGTAAATTGGAAATGCATAGTCAAGTATATCCTCAGAAACACTCCCCCTGCAAACATACAGAATTTACATATTAAGAAATCTATTATGAAAATTATTCCATTATTTTGAATAGTAACTGAAATACTGAAATAGTTTGGGATATCTACAGATTTTCGCTATATGGTTATATTATTCTGTAGTATTGTACAGCTGTGTTCTTATAATTTTTTCATTTCTTGGTATTAATGGTCACATGTAAATAAGCATTTTGCATAAATCTCATAGTAGTTCTATAACTTTGTGGCATGTTTTGAAAACACTAAGTCAAAATTTTCAATTTTGTTCTTTTTCAAGACTGTTTTGGTTATTATATATCC